GTAATGCACATTAAACTAAAAATCAAAATTAAGGGTCAGTGTAGCCTACATTATGTGATACATTACACCAGATTCATTGATGAATACACAAGATAAAAGTATCAATCTTTTAATGTTACACTAGAAGCAAGAGTAGATAATTACTTAGGGAGAGTGTCTAACCGCCCTATAGTAGCTGAAACATCACAGCGTAGAACTAAGTCACGTGAGTCCCGAGGCACAATGCCTGATGCTGAAGATTATTAGAAGAATAGGAATGAATTTATGAAACATGTGGAGTGACAGGTGTGGTTTTCATAACTACCCACACCCTATACACGTGTGTAAGTATGTTTTTTGAAGAAGAGCTCGAGGATGTCCAAGGAGTACAAAACCCAGATGATGACTGCATTCAAAGTGTCGGACCTTTGGCTACAACTAAAGAAACTCCCAAGCGTCCAAGGAAATCACGGAAAAGGACAAGACAAACAGATGCAGGAACTAACAGAGCTGCACAAGCCACTTTAGATGCCACAAGTAGCGAGACTAGCACCAGTACTACTAGTGGACAACAAACACGCAGGAAGAAGATGATTACTAAAAAGGAAAGAGCCTGTTTAATTAGCCATATCAAAAAGTGTCCAGTTTTGGAACTTGTCAAGGTTCATTTTCAAAACAATGAGTCAGCTATCTTTCAGCAACTGTTAACTGCTGCAGCAGAGCCTGTACTGAAGTCACTTATCAATTACCATCACAATAGTTTTATCTGTCTCTATGAAGCGAATTCTACAGGAAAGGACAAGTATATTGCTTTCCAGATTCAGTGGCATAAGTATTGCAGCATTTTATTACTTCCTAGGAACTTACAAACACAATGTCTGTTTTCACCACCAAGTTATGAAATGGAAATGGTTCGTAAACATTGGTTAGATTTCACCATAAATCTACAGGAAGGAGAAGATACTTGTAACAAGTTTATGATTTCATTTTCTTCCATCATACGTGACATTTTGCTTCAAGAGACTCACATCTGTTTAAATGAAATTTCTGGTGTGGATGGGCAAGGAATGACAACGCAAGTTGCAAATAACGATCAGAATGATGTTTATTTTCGTTTTGGAGGGGCAACACTGGCCAGCATGTTACACAACCGATACAAAGAAATTAGAAGTTGTAGTGCAGTAAAAAGAGAGCTCATATCTGTGGAAATAACCATATTGCAAGCAATTAACAATAAAGACAAATCAGCTATTCCAGCATACCTGCAATATCGAGACAAAGGATTCATGTATTTTCCAGATATAACATTCATACCATTCATCCGTGCTGTAGACGAATGTGCTAAGCAGGTTGTGAATGAAAAGGGTTTGAAAGACCATGGTGACGAATTAATCAAGGTATATATTACAATATTTAGATTTTTGTCATTTTCTGTTACTTTGGTTAGGTTACTCACAGTATAGTGAAACTGGCAACACACCTGAAAAGTCAACTTGTTGATGGACTAAGAAGTAAAATGGCACTTGATACTGATATTGAAAAGCAAGCAACAGACAATGTTTACGATGAGATGCTGAGAAAGCTAACTAACACAAGAATTCAAGAATTTATGTCTTCTTTTAAACAAAAGATGGCATTTAACAGTGGTCATGCTTCAACAGCAGGTCTGAATTTACGGGACCAGTTACTTTCACAGCATGTACAAGTTCAGTCTCGTGTACAATTAGATTAAAACATAATTAACAGCATTATAAATTATTATAATTATTACTTCAAAATTTCAATCCTTTTTATTATACACTTTTTTGGTAAGAGGAAGATTGTTAATATGCAATTGGCCATCACGATAATCTTTACCACTGTGGTGTGTTGAAGTTACTTGCTTGACAAGACTGACAGCTCGACTGTAACCATAATTTGCTGCATCAAGCTTTCCACCTGAACTGTATTTAAACTGACTGAATAGCGTCTCAACAGCAGATCCAGAAACTCGAAGTGGTGATACAAAGTAGCCAGGATGCTTCTTTAGAAAATGCTTACAGAACATATTGAATCCATAAATGTCTATTCTAAGTAAATCAAACGCTATATGAATAGATTTAAAAGTTACTCAAAATTAAGAATGAAGTATTCTTACTTTGCCAAGCCAAAAACTTCGTTTGTGTATTAACTTTCAGATCAAAGCTGCTATCTGTAAATTGATGTAAAATTATAAACAAAAAAATGGTTACCTTGACATCTAATTTGATCAAGCCATCTTGTGAAAAACTTGTACCCTTCATTAATAGATTTCATTGTATCACAATTAATATCTGTAATCTTGCTGTGGCTCAAAAATCCATTTTCGAAAATTTTGCTACATGATTCCAAGTAGGACAGAACTGCTTTTGTTCCATCTGACAGGGATTGGTTTGGATTATCATGCAGATATGAAAATAGCTCAGTAAGTACATTTTCTTGCTAGAAATACAAACGACTTGTAACAAGCAATGCCTGAAATAATTTGTTACTTTACCTGCATTATTTTTGCCGGAGTAACATTAAGTTTTGTCCAAGCATCACGTATGACATGGACCTCCTTTAATTTCGGAACCATTCGTGTTGAGCCACTATTAATTCTTTCACATTCCCTCTCAAACATCTTGATTATAGAACTCCACCCAAATGTTACACCATCCATGAGAAATGACTTTGTTCCTCCAGGTTTAGAAGAAAATAGAGCATTTATCATATTTTTAAGCTACAAAATGATAACACTAAAATCATGAAAAAATTTCCATACTTGGTGAGTGGGACAAATCAGCCAAAAAATCGGATGTGGTGGATTAAAGGGGTTCAACATTACTGGAGCTATTTCATACGGATCCATTTCCCCTACAAAGATTCATGTATAATTGTTATAATCAATAATAATTCCTAACCATTCAAAATTGGATATACACCAGAATGACCATGCGTAGCCTTTATGAGTGAGAGGTTACTTGATGCTCCATCGCAAACCAGTAGTGAAGTTGAAAGACCGTGTAATTGGAAAAGCTTTACAGTCTCTAGGATGCAAGCCAATGAAAATTTACTGTCCATTGTGTTTGAGCTCGTGAAGTAGGGGCCTATTATATCAAAATCACTGGTTAAGTCCCTCCACAAAAATTGCATAATGTAGCTTGTTTGCTCTACACTGCTGCTGCTAAGTGTCTGAAAAATGTCTGCTAGTGATAGCATTTCGTCATGTCGCATGCTCAAACCAATCAAAGTTTGGCTTCTGGAGTTCCACATTAATCGACTGATCACCTTAACTTCATCAAATATAAGTACTCCATCTTTTTTGGACTCTTGTTTTCCATTTAGAACTCTCTGTTGACAATGTAGCACAAATTGTGCTACCTGTTGCTCAATGCAATCACTGTGTGCACCAGGTCCGTGGAGAAATGCTCCTGTATAGCTCTGTAATGTGGAACGACAGGGAAGATTTAAAATTCCAAAAGACTTCAATGCATCATAAGCTGCAGGACTTCTTGAGTATACTGCTAAAGCTATACAATTATAATCACTGCAAAACAATAGATAATTTACTTACCCATTCTTATAGTGATTATGCTCCAGTTATTTGCTTTCGATCCACTTCCTGAATAACATAAACATTTAGAATACCAAAATTATTTAACTTACTGTTTTTCTTTTGATCAATATGAAATTGTTCCCTTTCACAATGACTTTCAACATCCTCTTTCCATATCTCTTTCATCAAATGACCTACACCATGTTTTTCAGCTATAATGATTTTAATATGCAATATTAATATTAAGTTTTGCAAACAAACCTTCATCGTACAATTTCTGTAGTTCTTCCTGATGATTTGTTTCTATAGTTGATGCTATGGAAGACATCTCGTCAGACTGATGGTCATCTAAAGATACAGCATCCTGCATAACTTTCCTTTTCAGATTATTTCTCTCATTCTTCTGATTATTCTTCCGTTTCTCTTGACTTGCCGGAGACATGTAGCTAAGTCTAGCATGTGATGAAGTTTCTTGTCGTTTTAACTTCTTTGAAGGTGCTTCAGCTTTTGTTCTCTTCAACTGATGCTGTAGATCACATTTAAGTCTTGTACATGATCGGCAGGTGACACTATCAGCAAGTCAGCGCTCATAACTACAGGTTTTTCCTAGCTCGAACCATAGTAAACAATTAACAGAGTCAATACGAAGAAAAGGCTCATTAGTACGTCTGACACTTTTTAGATCAAAACGAATCTCAGATTTAAACTCTTCATACTCTGCTATATCAATTCCTGGACAAAATTTATATTTACTGGAATCCACCGCAAACTTGCTACATATCTCAACAAATTCAGTACCTGGAGAATCACTGGTTAAGAAACCATTCTGTACCTCTCTAAGTAACACATGTACCACATACTCCCTTCTTTTCAGCAAGATTCGAACTCTAGAGGTTGGTCCCAGTGGAGGATGAAGGAACAGCTTCTCATGAGTAAGTATTAGGCATTCCTGATCATTGAAGAAACACTTATTGATTATGAACCCCTTTAAGTTGTTAGATAAGTATTGAAATACATCAGTGACAGAATAGTCGTCTGCTGTTTCTTCCTCATGTAGCACAAACTCGGCCGCCATTTTACAGGTTAATAAGGTTATTAATTACACGCCCATGCATAGGAATGGAATTCTGAAACTCCACTACTGATCCAAGTATGCGGAAATGCCCAGAGATAAGCAAAAAAAGACTACGCGGTGATGTTTCAGCTACTATAGGGCGGTTAGACACTCTCCCTAAGTAATTATCTACTCTTGTCATAACTCAAACAAAAATGTAAAAAAACAGTTCAAACATGAATAAATGCTTGTTTAGCCACACATTTGATTTCAGGTTACTCTGTTGAGTCTACAAGGAATAAGCAATATTAATAATAAATGTAAAAAGTACATGTACTTTGCATTAATGTTTACAAAGAACTTTGTAGCCTATTTTCATCTCTAAAAATAATTTGACAGGAATGTCATTCTACAGATAACGAAAACAAATTTTATACAGCAATAATAGTTTTTACTGACCTGGAAATATACTGGTGTCACATTAAGTAGTGCCAAGGGAAATAAAGAGTTGATAATATATCTAGTCTTGGGGAAATGTTATCTGTTTAACAGAGATAAGAAGTTAAAAATAAACCTTTCATTGCAAATGCTATACACATGGAGCTAGATATTTCTGTGGCCCAAAATTTCTGCTAATTATGCAGATTTTGAAAATTGTGAAAATTTAATCCTTTAAAATCAGTACACATTGAAAGGCATGGTGATT